CAGAAAGAATCAGCACAAGTATCCACTGCTGGGACCGCACAGACTCACACAATGCACGCCCACTACTACAGGATGCATGAATGTGCACGAGCGGTTCACGCTTCTAGCAGCACACAATGATACTGACGTGCTCCATGCCTATGTCCAAGGGTAGCCCAGGGTCACTGCACACAGGGGGCTTGGGTACTCATCCACACACATCTGGTGGCATTCGTGCAGAGTCAGAGCCAGGACCACAAGAGACAGAGGGGCTGGGCCTGGAAGTCTCAGTCTGTACCTCCACTCAGCTCTCCCAAAACATTGTTTTGTTTATTTTTTTTGTGGAACCGGGGATTGAACTCAGGCCCTTGTGCTTGCCAGGGAAGCGCTGATTCCACTGAGCCATCTCCCCAGCCCCAAAATGTTGGTTTTGGCTCTGCCTGCATAGATCTTATAGAACACTGAGCTCAAACAATAAGGGTATGTGTACACATGCACAAAATATAATTATTTGCAACAAGTTTGAAAAGAAGCGACACTATCGTAACAGAGATCCATATACTTCAGAAATAAGTACATTGTCACCACAAAAGTTAATGCTAATGGTCACTAGAAGAAAGATTCAGGGTTTGTGGCCAGGATGGGACTCAGGACGGCACCTGTCCTTCTGCAGTAGTCTGTTTCTGTATGTGGATGGTAAATATAGGAGCATTCATTTATTATCATTCATTACTTCATACACACATTTTATCCACATTTTAGAATTATGCTTTGTATACTAAACATTTACTTAATGTGAAGATGAAGCGCCTAATTTCAACTTCTCATTTCCTTTTATGTATCCTACTCATGACTCATTAAGTCTCTCCACCTTCTGAAACCTTCACACACATTTATCTACTTAAAAATAATTTCATACGTTAACAGGAACCACTTTCAGTTACCGATCTCCAAACAAAATAGCATATAAAACCAAAACCAATTATTTTTTTTCTGGTAAGGGGAAAAGAAGTATGTTCAGGAACAGCATTTAAATTTGCTTTTGATTTTATACAACTAGTTTTAAACTTAAAAATCAGGTTAGCATCTGATAATGTGATGTCCTATGTCACTGCAAGAGAAAGAATCAGACTTAGGGCAAAACTTGCAACATAAACGGGAAGATGCTTCAACCACCACAGTTGAGAAAAAAATTCTTTGAAATAAAATACCTACCTAAATTTTCTGTGGAGGTTGAAAAAATGCATAAGAAAGAAACACTTCATGAAAGCCAGGTCCGTGAACTCAAGACTTGTCAGAAATCAGAAACTGCATGGAGCTAGGTGAGCCTAACAGGCTAAGTTTGGGAACCAGGGCCATATGATGTGCGTATTTCCATATATCTTCTTTCAAATTTGAAAGCAATTTATTTCCTCTTCATTGCACCCTTTGACATGGCAAGGGTTTGGCACGAACAGTGGAAGAATTTATTCAAGTTGACACCACTAAGAGCAAATGCCAAGAAGAACTTGAGAACTCTAAATTAATTAATTAATTAATTTATTTTGGAAGGGCAGGTGGGGCTGGCACAGCATGTGGTGCCAGGGATTGAACCATGGTCCCTGCGGTTGCCTAAGCTTGCCTAAGCAGGCACTTCAGACCGCTGAGTTACCTTGCCAGCCCAAGAACCCTACATTTAATGTTTCATGGATACCCATGCACACTGAATATTTCCAAAATGACTTGGATTTCCACTTTTGAACAAGTTAACTCCATTAGCCTCCTAGTAACTTTAGTGCTGACATTCATGGTTGTATAATGGAATAGCAGTTCCAAATTGGAATCCCTGGGTCCCTTACTGCTCCCTAATGTGGGGCAAGAAACAACTTATTTCTAGCATGTAAACACAAATACAGAGGAAAGTCTTCAGATATCACATACCATTATCCTTAGAATTTTGATGATTATTAAGATCTATTAGGGGCCGGGGAGATGGCTCAGTAGAATAAGCACTTCCCTGGCAAGTGCAAGGGTTTGAGTTCAATCCCTGATTCCACACACACACAAAAAAATCTATTAACTAAGAACATTCTTCAATATTCAATCTGAGGCTTTTTCTTTTTGTCTCATTTTTTTAATCATGCTATATCAAAACGTCTATGTTGGAGATATATATATATATATATATTAGCAGGGGATTAAACTCAGGACCTTGTGCTTCCTAGACAGGCTCTCATTGCCACTGAGCTATCTCTCTGGCCCTATGTTTTAAAAATTGAAATAAAATTAATTAATAAAAATTTTGAAATAAAATTAATTTGATGGATTTGTCTTCACATCAAAAAAAAAGAAAGAAAGAAAGAAAGAAAGAAAGAAAGAAAGAAAGAAAGAAAGAAAGAAAAACAAACAACTTATTTCTGAGCCAGCTTCTACAATAGATGCTATTTCCACACCAGGAGGATCCCCAGTCCAGCTGAGCTCTCCTTACGTACCAGGCATGGCTCTAGGCGCTGGAATGAACGATCCTCCTTATGTACACAAGGACACTACCAGGTAGATGCCATCATACTTCAGTGGTACAGATAAATAGCTTCGAGACAAATGATTAAGTTGCCCAAGTCACAGAGATCCCAAGGGAGTAACTGAGGTGGATCTGGAGGCCACAAAGTCTGACTCCAGACCCTGGCTGGTTAGCTAGGGTTTTCTGATTTAAGATCATTGAACAAGGTGCTCTACTAGGTCACTGTCTTTTTTCTAAAAAAAAAAGAATAAAAAATAGTCAAAGGACAAAACAAAAACACATTTTTAAAAGAATAAAAAATAGTCAAAGGACAAAACAAAAACACATTTTTAAAAGAATAAAAAATAGTCAAAGGACAAAACAAACAAATACACACACACACAAAAAAAAACCCAATATATTTCATTAAACAAGATAACAGGAATTCAACAACGGTTGTTATGTTGCATAATGCAGTCTTCAAATTAGTTATTTAGATTACCAGATATAAACATGCAAAATTGATTTTAAAGTTATAAGAAATTAAAAAGAAAAAAATACATTAGAAGAGATACACCATTTCACTAAACAAAATAAGAATTCAACAATGGTTGTTACTTAGCATAATGCTATCTTCAAATTAGTTTAGATTATCAGATATAAGCATGCAAATTTGGTAATAAAAATGTTATAAGAAATTTAAAAAAGGGGTTGGGGAGATGGCTCAGTGAAATAAGCGCTTCCCTGGCAAGCGCAAGAACCTGAGTTCAATCCCTGGTTCCACCAAAAAAAAAAAAAAGAAAGAAATTAAAAAAAAAATTTAAACATTAACTGCACCCTTCAATGGACCAGCAGAAATCAGCAATACCATTATCCAAGCTATCCTGTGTATATATACGTAAATATATCATTTTCTCTTCCTTCTTTGTTTTTTCCTTTTATTCATCCCAGTTGTTCCTTCCCTTTGAACAGATTCTTTTCCTTTCACAGTACCTATTGTACTTTGCAGATTTTATTTACTCTTTCAGGTTCTTTTTTTTTTTTCTTTCAGGTTCTTACACTAGCGAGACAATATGATGTTTGCACACGGAAGGTCTGATTTATTTCACTTATAGTATGTCTCTAGGTGAATCCATTTACCTATAAAAGCCTCAAGTTTATCTTTTTTATAGCTGAATAATACTCCACTGTGCAAAAATACATTTTTTATCCATTCTTCAGTTTAAAAAAAAAAAACGATAAGGGGACAGGGAGATAGCTCAGTAGAATAAGCGCCTGGGCCTGAGTTCAATCCCTGGTTCTGCAAAAAAAAAAAAAAAAAAAAAGACATTGTCTTACTTTTCTCTAGTTGCTGAGACAAAAATACCTGGTGACCAAAATTAAACAAGGAAAGGTTTATTCAGCTCAGTCTGTAGAGATTTCAGTCCATCATCAGCTAGCTCCAAGGCAAGGTGGAACAATTATGAGCGAAGAAAACAGTGAAAGGGAAGGAGCAGAGAAGCCTCTTTCTGTTCCTTATATTGTACGTAGGCCACCCATCCCGGGGGCATGTAGCACCCACACCCACAATCCCACCACTGGCCCATGAATCAAGCACAAACTCTAGAAGCCAGCACCACGACTGCATGAGGCTCTGGGGGGACAACTAGACACAAACCACAACACAAACAAACAAAAGTCCAATAAGCAGAAGTTATTCTATCATTGTAGCTATTACTATTTTACTATTATTATGGATAGTCTCTTGGTAAGTAGACCACTGAGAACTTTCAACACAATTCATATTCCAGGAAAGATGTCCAACATCTTAAAAGGAAGTAACATAAAAAGTAGGATCAAGAGAATTGGTGTAAACTGCGCATCTGTTTAACTGTTATCCTCAGAAGAACCAAGGAAGAAATTTTCTGAATAATTTTACACCTGTAATTATGATAACTCATGCTTGCAGGAGTACATTTCATTGTATGTCCTTTAATGTACGTAACTACACATTACTGCTGCTCATAAATCAGACACTTAAGATTAAAACTTAATCATGATAGCATATTCAACATCCCTTTCTCAATCCAGAAGATCTGAAAAGACAATAATTTAATAATATGTCAACAGCATGGGCAAATTTTCCCATCAGCTATTCTTGCTAGTTTCACCAAATGATTTTCTGAGTGAAATCACGGAAGTTTTGAGAATTATCTGAAAAATCAGTTCTTAAGACTGAGCCTCAGTTGAATTATCTACAGGAAAAACTTCTACAGATATTTATGACTTCCAGCCAGGCATAGTGGCACACGCCTGGAATCCCAGCACTCAGGAGGCTGAGGCAAAAGAATCGTTGTGAGTTTGAGACCAGCCTGGGCTACAAAGTGAACTCAAGGTCAGCCTGAACTATATAGTGAGACCCTGTCTCAAAAAGACGGATACTTATGACTTCCTCTAGTAACAATAAAGCAAACATATTCTACCAAATGTGCACCTTGACCTCCCCTCCCCCCTCCTCTTAGAACAGTACAAATGTCACCACTGTGAAGCCCCATGTACTTACTTCCACAGCATAGTGCAAAACTGACGAGCCAGGATGCAGAGACAGATTCTGAAAAGGCTTGATATGAGGTTTGTCCCAGCCGAACTCAGAGGACCACTCCACCGTCAACATGTGATCTGTGAACACAGCTCCAAATACCAGATTATCTGGGTCTGGTTTAGCCTTAAAGGTGGTGGCTGGTGTGATTATCAAATCTTTAGCCTGGGAAAGAAAAATCAGCATCATTAAAGAAAAGTACCTGAATATACACGGTTAGATGATGGGGGTGGGGTGGGGCTATCACTTGACTTATTTAAATGTTGGCCAACTAACAGAATCTCAAGGCTGTGTGGGCAGCTGACCACACCTCCACTGAGAACCCCCATTGCCACTGTTAAAAATCTCTGCAAGGTACACTGCCTAACAGACCACGAGAACCAATCTCCATGATATGATACGCTGAAGTAGAGAAAAAATAGCAGATGAGGGCAAATGACATAAAAGAACACATCTTCCTTGGTCCTATCATAGGACCTGAGCTAAACAGGAGTGTCTCCCGCAGTGGAAACAGGAATGCTCACAATGAGTTGTTAAGCTAAACTGAGCACCATTAAGCAAGTGACCCTCTCTCTCTCTCCACTTGGGGCTAGCTAGGGACCAACTGACCCAGAGAGTTCCTGGCATAAGCCTTCAAAATCTTCTAGCAGAAATGAGCAAAGCGAGGCTAATGTTTTCCTCTTGGAAAACACAGACAAGTAGAGAAGGAACACTGAGATATCAATTCCCTATTCTGTGTAGAGGAAACAGTGGACAAAAGACCTCTTATTCAAAGACATAAATAAGAGTAACAGGAAACAACTTCACAAAGCATTGCACCCACTCTTCACAAAGCCACTCTGCTCACTACAAAGGCCCTAAGATGCAGGCGCACAACTGCCACACGCTGCCACTAACTTTGAAACAGTTAAATAATGCTGGTGAAAAACAAGTGAAAGCCTTTCTGACCAGCTGAAAAAAACAGGAACAGAACAGGTTCAACCTGACTTGTGGCCAGAAATGTCCAACTTGTCTTTGTCTTACGCAGGCTGGCCTACTCTTGCGCTTTTCTCTGTCCAGTAGCTGGGACGACTGCTGCAAACCACACTAACCCTTATCAATCTGGGAATCAAACCCAGGACCTGAGGCAAGCCCAGCAAGCTTTCCATCATCAACTACACCCCAGGTCTTCAGCTTCTCTTACTATACATATTCATTGCCTTGCAAATCACAAACGAAGGGGGCCTGGGAGATAGCTTGGCAGGCATAAAAGTGCCAGCCTGGCAAGCGCAAGGTCACAAGTTCGATCCCAGGTACCACACACATACACAAAAGAAACCACAAACTTACAAGTCACAAATGTAGCTTTTGAGCCTAGGGGTATAGGGCAGGGATAAAACATAAGTTTAAGCCCCTGAGTTCAACCCCCAGTGCACCCACACACACCAAAAAAACTCCACAAAATAAAAAATACAGAACTTCACCTTACATCACTGACTTTTTATATTTTGCATGACTTTTCAATGATTTTTAATTACCCTGATCGATTCACTGTCTTGTAGTTAAATTATACACTTGATAAATTATGATAGTCTATTTCATTTTTAGAATATTCAGCCTTTAAAAAAAACATTCTAAGAAAACCAGAAAACTCATTTCACAATGAAGTCCAGAGTAGTAAGAAAAATACAATATCATTGCCTCAGGACCATATCCAAGCTAAATGCCAAATTTAGAGAGAAAAATGATTTTCTTCTACCACTATGCTATTCAAGAGAATAAGTTAGCTTAAAACTCATCACTTGTACAGCAACTTACCACTAGGAAGAGAGTACACAATGTGTTAATTATTGAAACTGTCATACCAATTTGATTTGAAACTGTCTCATTGCTATTTGTCTCTCAAAATTATGGGGGGAAAAAAAAAGCTCATCACTAACAGAAAGACATTTATTGAGAGGGACGTACTCCAGCTAACTTATCTCTGGTTCCCACTGTTCTGCTTGAATCTTCTAGACTGGGTGGAGGGGCAGGCGAATTTTACATGTAGGTCAAATGTAGCCACTGGCTTGTTTTATAAAGAGAAGTTTTAATGGAATGCAGTCACACGATTCTTTTACCTCCACTGGTGGCAGTCTACTCCCTGTGACAACAACCTAATCGTCCTCAAGCCTGCAACACTTATTTATTCTGAATGAAGTTTACTGGTACATTTTAGATACACATAATAGTCTTATTCGATATATTTTGACTTCTCCAAATCCCCTCTCCTCCCTTCAATCCCTCTTCCCCTCCTTATTTACAAAGCTCTGTTTCCAATTTATCTTTTTGTGGACTTTTTCTCTTTTCCTTCCCTTCCTTTCTTCTTCCCCCACCCTAGTTCCACTTTCCTTTTGAAGAATTTTTTTCCCATTTCACAATATTGTGCCTATTAATCTGGTTTACTCTTCCAGCTTTTCACACCAGGAAGATAATGTGACATTTACATGTGTGAGTCCGACTTATTTCACTTAAAGAGTATGATCTCAAGTTGCATCTACTGTAAATGTTTCAAGTTCATCATTCTTTATATCAGGGTAGTACTCCATTGTGTTAAAAAATAAAATCCTTTCTATCTTTTCCTCAGTTGATGGGCATCTGGGTTGTTTCCAAGATCTAGCTATTTCAAACTGTGCTGCTAGAAACACGGGTGCGTATATACTGCTGCAGCATTATGTTTGTAATTCTTCCAGGTAGATACCCAGAAGGGAAACAGCTAGATTGAAAGGGATCCCTAATCCCAGTTTTTCGAGGACACTCCATACTGATTACCACAAAGCTGCACCATGCTACACCCCCACCAACACGGGAGCAAGGTTCCTTTTTCTTCATGCCTTCTCCAGCAATTACTAATTTCTTGATGATAGACATTCTTTCTGGGATGAGATACAATCTCAGCATTTAGTTTGAATCTAATAATGAATGATGCTGAACATTTTTTCATGTATTTATTTGCCATTAGTATTTCTTCATCTGAGAAGCACATACTGACCTCAGGTGTCCATTTTGTCCATTTATTGGGTCTTTAAACTTGGGGAGGTTGATTTTTTTTCTAATTCTTTATATATTCTAGATATGTCTCTTTTTTTCTGTATTTTAGGGAAGGGTCTACAGGGTGTTCAGGGTCTCACTACTAGATCAGACTTGTAGTGATTCTCCTGTTTACAGCATCCCAAGTGCTGGGATTATAGGAGCGCGCCACCATACCCAGTCTCAATTGCTGTCCCAGCCAGCGCCGGGGGCAGGGCTGGCACGGCAGATCCAGGAATTGAACCCCTCAGTTCCTGTGCCCTTCATCTGAAGGACAGGTGGCCAAAATTTGTTCCCACGTCTGAGTTATCTTTTCACTCTGCTGGGGATTTCCATTGCTGTGCAAAAGCTTAATTATAGGAAATCGAAACCCAAGTCTACAATATTTATTACCTGGCCATGTTAAAAAGTTTGTGAAAAAGCTTGCTGGGAGCTGAGAGTGTAAGTCAGTGGTAAACCTCATACTTGGCATGAATGAGGTTCTGGGTTCAATTTCCAGCATTAAAACACATACACAACACACCGCTGAAAACGAGTTTGTCAACCCCTGCTCTAGATCAGGAATGGCGAACTTTTTAGAGCTTTCAATGATAACAAACAGCCTGCTGCAGCACATGTGTCCTAGGTTCACCACCACTGGTCTAGGCTATTGAAACGAACTGACTGGAATATTCACCTAATTCTCCAACCTTGGGGCTGGTGAGGTAGCTCAGCAGTCTAAAGTGCCTGCTTAGGCAAGCTTAGCAGGTACAGGGGATCACGATTCAATCCCCCCACCCCCTGCACCATATGCTGCACCAGCCCTGCCCTGAGGGTGGGCTGAGGTGGCCAAAAAAAAAAAAAATTTTTTTTCCAATCTTGGCACCATGCTGGCCACATGGGAGGACCACCTGAGCAGCTCTCCTTGAAAGAAGAGCGACCATCTCCATTTTGGCTGAGCCTGACCCTATTTCCTTTGTATTGATATGTACAGAGCTGGCTAGGACTTTTCCTTATGCCTTCAATTGGTTTTAAGCAATGCATATTGGTCTAGCTGAGGTGCTGGCGGTAGTCTTTGAAAGTGACACATGTGTGCCCCTGATAACCCACACCTGCTGCTCTTTAACATGAGCTGGGGCCAGACAGGATAAAGAGCCAGTGCTCTGTGCTGTCCACTGGGATCTAGCCTCGGGATAGAGCCTATGACTTCCTAGGGCTTGAAAGATGACTCATCAGAGCTGAAGTACCGAACCCCAAAACATTAGATACTATCTCTATAGTATAGTGCAAATTACTTTTCCACATATGGTTCTCTCTGCATATGACACAGGTAAATGCAGGCCTCCTACCTAGCCCAGCTCACAGTACTCACCTACTTCCCACAATTCTCAGTCATTCATCCTCAAGCCACTCCTCCTTCACAACTGAATAAAAACCCAGATGTGGCCCTGGGTCAGTCTCTTTGTTCTGGAAAGCCATCTTTGTGGCTGGACTTAGGGCCCTTTGGCTCCCCGTAATTATAAATATGCTTTAGTGTGTTTATTTTCGCTGTGAGTTGCACCGGGAGTGGTAGATTGGAATTAACTTGGTGGGATTCAGTAACATATTTTTGGGATTAAAAATATAAACTTCTTGGACCGAGACATGGACCAAGAGGGGCTTCCTACACCAGATAAAGAAAGCGTCCCTCATAAAAGATGGCCAGAATTCAGAGCAAGGGAAACTCGCAAATTTTTCATGACATGAATATTTTCAGTGGACTGCATAGTAAAGCATGTGATTTGACCTTAGCTAGCTTTTTCTTATTGAGCAAGGATCCTACGCTGAGAAAAATCTGGAATTGTATTAATACAATAAAGTATGCAAAATTTCTTGTCTAAGATTACTAGCTGAGTTTCTTGGAAGGGAAGGGAATCAGACAGACAGACAGACACACACACACAAAGAGTGGCTGTGAAAATGGACAGCTTTTCATACCCATTGAGCTCTGGGTATTTTTTTTTTCATTACTGTATGCTTGCAACGCACACTGAACACACGCATGAGGATCTGCACACGTGCACTGCACCTCTTGATTTGATTCCTTTTTAAAAAATTTCTTTCCCCTCCCCTCCCTCCAAAGCTTTCCTCCTCTATTT